ATGTTGCATCTGTTCTGAATCTAAAATAAAATAAAATTGCAGGAACTGATGACGATCTTCCTCCATCACACCAAAATAGAATTCCCAGAGGGGGTCGTGTTGCAGGGAATGGAAGATCTGCTGTGGGTTCTGTCCCATATCCTAGGATGTATGGTGATACTGACATGGAAGCACAAATTCACCAGCTTGAGCAAGAAGCATACAGTTCAGTTCTAAGAGCCTTTAAAGCTCAAGCTGATCTCATTACTTGGGTACTTTATCATTTTTCTTCGTGGATCTAATATCTTTAATTTGTTTGATCAGGTTTAAATGACTACTACATGAAATGTATTTTCTTCAGGAAAAGGAAAGTCTCATAACAGAACTTAGAAAGGAGTTGAGGCTATCGAACGAGGAGCACAGAGAACTTCTAGGACGGGTTAATGCAGATGATGTCATACGGAGGATAAGGTCTGATAGATTTAAGAAACAAGATACAATCTTTGTTTTTTAATTGAGAAACGAGACCTATTCAGTATATTTTGTTACTTGGCTTCTTTTTTCTTTTAATGGGTACTGTGTTGGGTGATGCCATCAGGGAGTGGAGACAGGCTGGTGGGGCTCAACTCGGCATGCTCAATACTGTGCAAGCAGCTCATGATCCAATACCCAGTCCTACTGTCTCTGCATCTCGCAAGAAACAGAAGATGACCCAGTCAGTACATTCACAATCCTTTGTTGGGCCATCGCCACCATTTCATCCACAGGCTACTGCATCCCACCAGCCATCTTCATCTACTCTTAAACGAGGGTCTGTCCCAGCCCCAGCCCCAGCCCCAGCCCCAGGAGCCAAGGGAAAGAAACATAAACCTGTGAGTTGAGGATTATCATTATAAAGTAAAACACACAGAAAAGCTTGCAGGTTATTGATTTCTTTGTTTGCTTCCCTTTTGTCTCATTCTGTTTACAGGGTCAAATTTTACCGGGTGCTTCTTCAATGAAGCAGTTCCCTTCCTCAGGTCCAACAGGAAGGGGTCAAGTTTCGAATAGAGTCTCTTCTGGTGCCATTGTCAATGAACCTGCTGAAGGAACGACATATGATCCCTTGATTGGCAGGAAAGTAAGGACTAGGTGGCCCGATGACAACAACTTTTATGAAGCTGTTATAACAGACTACAATCAAGCAGAGGTATCTGTTGGTCTTATAAGTGTTACAGGAGTTCATTTTTGCAGTAAAGCTATGTTAAGTCTTGTACCTAACATTCGTTCTTTTTTCCTTTTTTTTTGTTAGGGACGACATGCCCTAGTCTACGATATTAATTCTGCAAATGAAACTTGGGAGTGGGTTAATCTATCAGAGGTATGTTTGATGCGTTGTACCTGGGATTTGAAATTTTCTTGCCCACATGTCATTTTCATTACATATTTTCTACATATTACGTGTAGTAAAGCTATAAATACAGAAGCTTATTTGAGTGGTAAGATGCTCTTTTGAAAGCTGAATTGTCAATTCTTGACCACTTATGACTTTTACGTTAAGTCAGATTCTTTTCCTGGATCATAAGTTGTCTTGTAGATAGTGGATGTAAAATGACTTTTCACTTAGTTTAATAAAGTTTGTTGCTTCTTGAAAAGACAACTTGATAATTTTATATTATGGTAATGTGCTCAGTGCATAATGTTGTGTGTGTGTGTGTGTGTGTACACATTCCGATAAGGCTTCCTAGTAATTTTGTTTAATGAATTCTTCTTCCTTCTTGCTTTTCTGCTCTCTGTTAACCAATGTTTTCTGAATTGCCCTATTTGGCCAATTGGGTTTGTCCACTGATTAACGATACATAAATTGGTGCACCATGCTCCAAGTAATATTTGCCTTTTACTCCTACTAGGTAGTTTCTGCTCTAGGATTAATGCACTGTTTTCTCTTGTGTTGATATTGGTGGATACTTTAAATTTGAAGGTTCATACATTTTAATTGTTGTATTAGTGCTGGAAAAAATTCCATATTCAGCAGAAGTGTGGTAGCACATGCATTTTAGATTTAAAAAAAAATATATGATCTATGCTCAAAGAGGTGTTCATTGCAACCAGACTTGATTAAAAATATGGTCGTTATAACAAGGGCTCTCTCTGGAGTCCACACACAATAAGGAAACCCTAATAATAATAGAGAAACAGACTAATAGTAAAGAAATCACAATTAAATAAACAAGCTCTACATGATATAAAATTCCAATACTGCAATAATTTGGTAATTGCAACCTGACATAACTAAACCCTAATAAAATTTGCTCATAGGATCTCCACCACACAGTACCTAGCATATTGATATTGTAATCAAGTGTGCTTTGAAAATATTAATATTCATAATCACATATAAAAGAAGCCTGACAACTTAATCAACTGAATGCTTACACTATGTTTGGTTCACATTTATTGGGAGAAAATGAAAAGGAGAGGAAAGAAATGAAAAAATCTTTTGGATTTTCCATCCTTTTAACTTCTTTAGTTCAAACAAGAACATATCTCGTTTTTGTAATGATATTGGATTGCATTTTTCTCACTCAATAATGGTATATTATTTACAGACGGTTTACATCTTTCCTTATACTGGCTTATAATTCCTTATGCAGATATCTCCCGAGGATATTCAATGGGTCGGCGAAGATCCTGGAATATCTCATCGTGGGGGTTATGGTGGATCTGGTCATGGTATTAACAGATCTGTAGGCCGTGACAATGTTCCAGTTCCTGGAAGAGGTAGAGGGATCCCAAAGGGTCAATCAAGAAAAGATTTTCCACCGTCACAGAATGGCATTGGAAAGAAGGCTCCAGATGATATACAGTTACTTCACACTGATACTTTAATTAAGGAGGTTAGTAAAAGCAGGTTGATCCACAAATGGTTGATAAATTGTTGGTTTTACTGAATAAAGCTTCAATTTTTTTGGTAAATGTGGACAGGTAGAGAGAGTCTTTGGTGCAAATCATCCAGACCCTGTTGAAATTGAGAAAGCGAAGAAAGTGTTGAAAGTAAGAAGGGCACCCTTTTTTGTTTTTGCATTTTTAAAGTTTCATCACAAGGTTTTCCTTATTTGGAAACCTGATTTGTTAACTTTGAACAGGACCATGAACAAGCACTTATCGATGCAATTGCAAAGCTTGCTGATATTTCTGACGGTGAAAGCGGTAACTATTGTTCATCTTGTTTTGTTCTTCAAACCTTACCTTCCTGCACATATAAGCTATTAATTGATTAGTGTCCACCAATTAGAGTCCGCTTAAGCAATTTCATATATAGAAAGCTATTAATTGATTACTGTCCTCGTCATTTTATAGAAAGCTGCATCAAACACAGTAGTGTCCTCTCTTGATGACGCATCTAGTGAAAGTTTATGCCATTTCCATCAAACAAGTCGTATCCGTTAGACTAAGATTTTTAGGATAGCAAGGTTAATGTTCCCATGCTGTATGGTTGTTTAATGGCAGCTAACAACTGGACTTTCGTGTCTTGTGCAAAATTTTATATGACCTTCCTCTCCTTTTAACTTATTTTTAATTTATTTCTCTGGATGTCTCATCCAGGACCTTTGCCTTTAAACAGCTGACGGTACCCAGCAGTTCTTACATAGGCAACCAATGGATCGAGAATGATAGATTACTGGTTTTAGATCTGAAGCAGCAAAGCGCATATTTGTGGTTAAAAGGCTTGAAGTGGGCAATAATATGATAGGCAAAGCTATTAGGATGCAGAAGTGAAACAGATCTGGATTGAAGGCCAGTTTTTTTGTACAATGATATGTTAATTACATAACCCAACATGTTAAAATTCTGGGTTTTGGTCTTTTCAGGATAGGCATTATTGTAGGATGAGAATTACTATAGCGGGCCAATAATTTCTTTTTAAATAGTGGGCATTATTAACCTAGGAAAGGGCTGATGCTTGTGTAATAGTGATTAGTGTGCCGTCGTGTAAATTATTCATCTTGTCTCCATTTCGGTTTAAACCGAGGCATCTGTATCGAGGGTTTACTGCAAACTTGAGGAAGATAGAAAACCATTTTGGTTAGCCAAACGTTCTCCCTGTTCACTTCAACAAGAGAGAAACACTGCAAAAGCCATCAGTTGCAAGTTTCATTTTCTGCACAAAATAAAACTAGACAAGACAACCTTAACTATCTCTCGACTTCTAGTAATGTTTTTGTTTTCAATTTTAGAAGGGGTTTCAAGTTTGAATCTCTGATTGATTGAATGAACGGTTGAAACTCAAGCATCAAATTCACAGCAGAGAGAATGGTCCTATGGAAGTCTTTCTTTTCTTCTCTTTTTATCTGAACCAGCAATTTGGAATAACGTTCAATTTGGAAATGTTTGACACCATGTTTGATGGGCCATAGAGGGTAAACCTTCACGAACAGCTCTGCCTTAAGCAAATAAAATTGAAGCATCCAATATGAACATTCCAAGAATCACAAAAAGAAAAACGAAGGGAAGTTAGGGCAAACTGAACCATCAAAGTTAAAAGTTAAGCTTAAAAATAGGGAACTACTGTTGACACTTTAAAAGTCACGAGGCAGTCCTCTATGTGCAATTTCTTTCTTTTCTCCCTTGTGTTTTTATAATGTAGAAGTGGATTATGACTTTTTCGAAGTTTGAATAACTACTCCATGCCAACGGGGGTTTAGGTTAGTGGAAAATGGTCTTGACTTGCAGACTAGAGATCTCATGTTCGAATTCCCACGGCATCATAGTTGTGTGTGTGTGTGTGTGTGAGAAATCTCCCTCTCTTGTAGTTTAGACTATTGCTTATACTTATAAAATAAAATAAAAAATAAAAAAAACTCCGTAAAGATATATTTCTCTTCATTAGCTTACTCTTGATGCGCTTCATTTCTAAGGAACTTGTTTACTAGGAATAAGGAAACACGTCTTTATAATAGTAAAGTTTGTTGGCCACAAAATGGTTGTGAGCGCTATCTTGACTTGTTTTCATGTCATGTCAAATATAATACCACAGCAAGTCCACACCACAACTACCTAAGCACCCACTTGTGACCTAACTTTCTATTCTGGTCAGCAATGTCAAATTGCAGGTACTTAATTAATTAGGGCAAACTGAACCATTAAAGTTAAAGTTAAGCTTCAAAATAGGGAACTGCTGTTGACACTTTAAAAGTCACGAGGCAGTCCTCTATGTGCAATTTCTTTTCTCCCTTGTGTTTTTATAATGTAGAAGTGGATTATGACTTTTTTGATGTTTGAATAACTACTCCATGCCAATGGGGTCTAGGTTAGTGGAAAATGGTCTTGACTTGCAGACTAGAGATCTCAGGTTCAAATCCCAACGACCTCATAGTCGTGTGTGTGTGAGAGAAATCTCTCTCCCCTGTAGTTTAGACTATTGCTTGTACTTTAAAAATTTTATAAATAAAAAAGCTCTATAAAGAAACACATCTTTATAATGGTAAAGTTTGTTGGTCACAAAATGGTTGTGAGCGCTATCTTGACTTGTTTTCATGTCATGTCAAATATAATACCACTGCAAGTCCACACCACAACTACCTAAGCACCCACTTGTGACCTAACTTTCTATTCTGGTCAGCAATGTCAAATTGCAGGTACTTAATTAATTCATGCACTCAAAACCAGACCTATGACATTCTTGATTTTAGAACAAAACAGTCCAGCAAGACCAGAAGCTATTATGTAAGATGTCAAAATAGTTTTGATCAGACTTTAGATGGAGAGAATGGTGGCAATAGGAAGCTTAAAATCCTCATTGCAGGTGGGGGTATTGGGGGGCTAGTTTTGGCACTAGCAGCGAAACATAAAGGATTTGAAGTACAGGTCTTTGAGAAGGACTTGAGTGCAGTGAGAGGGGAGGGACAACACCGTGGACCGATTCAGCTTGTGAGTAGTGCTTTGGCGGTCCTGGAAGCCATTGATGAGAATGTTGCAAAACAAATCAAGGAAGCAGGTTGTGTTACTGGCAATAGGACCACTGGCTATGCAGACGGTCTTTCAGGTGAATGGTAAGCTTGACGCTATTGTTGAGTAACTTTGATTCATTATAGTGAATTGTACTTCTTTCTGAATTTTTTATGTTATATATGGATCACTATACTAACTTTTCGGTTTAGTTATTTTGATTTGAATTTCAGAGGATTTCATAGTTCTTGTGGTCAGAAGATGTTCCTATAACTCAAGTGCCAAATATCATAAGCAAAGATATCCACAATAGCTAGCTATTTTATTCTTCTAATCGCAAAAGCAAATGGATATTAGTCATTACCTTTTCCTGAGTTAGAGTTTTAACTCTGATTTTCGAGAAAAGAAAGAATTACGCTTTCAAGTTAGTATTTGATCCTTTTTTTTCATTTTGTCTTCAGGATTACCAAGTTTGATCTTTCATCTCCAGCTGTAAGTAGGGGGCTTCCTCTCACTCTAGTAATATGCAGGATGGCACTGCAAGATATCTTACTCAAAGCTGTTGGGGTGGACATTGTGAGAAACAAATCTAAAGTGGTGGACTTCCTTGAAGACCCTAGCAAGGTTGAATTAATTTTTGACTAATCTACTTTCTAATTCTTCACAGTTCTGTACAAATTTCTAACTTCTTTCTGTGGATTACTAGGTCACTGTGATCCTTGAAGATGGCCAGCAATATGATGGTGATGTTTTAGTAGGAGCTGATGGAATATGGTCAAAGGTAAGTTATCTCCTTTTTGAACTATTTCCAATGTATGTATGTATGCACTTATCAACTTCCTTACTTATTGTTTCTTCATCACTAGGTTCGCACAAAATTATTTGGGGAACGGAAAGCAAAATATTCAACTTACACATCCTACAGTGGAGTGACAAACTTTGTGCCACCATATATTGATAGTGTTGCGTAAGTAATAAAAATGGTTTAATTTCTTATGACAAACTGGATTTATGAATGGACCAAAATGGAAGTTCAGCACAAAATAAACAAAGCACATGAATGTTTTAACTCAGTAATCTTGGTTTTGCTGGTATGAAGGTACCGGATCTTCTTGGGATTGAACCAGTGCTTTGTTGCAACAGATGTTGGGAATGGAAAGATACAATGGTTTGCCAACCATAAAGAGCAGCCTATGAGCAATGATCCTCCTGAAGGCACACTCCTCTCTGCCCCCTCCTTCCCTCTCCCTTCTCTATGTTGCTGACTAGTGATAACGTAAATATCATGCCTTTTGATGATGCAGGTAAAAAGAAGAGGCTCCTCGAGAAATTTGGTAATTGGTGTCCTGAAGTGGTTACACTAATTCAAAAAACACCAGAGTCCATGATTTTACGGAGAGATATCTATGATAGAGACATGATTTACACTTGGGGAGCCGGGCGTGTTACTCTGCTAGGTGATGCTGCTCATCCAATGCAGCCGAATCTTGGCCAAGGGGGTTGCATGGCAATTGAGGTATGTTATCGTTTAATGCATTTATCTTTAGCATGCAGCATCATGCAGCCTGCATGTCAGAAAAATGGAAACAAATTAAGGTATTTTTTGAGCTCCCATGTGCTCATTAGTCATTACCTGGGAGATTGTATGTGCAGGACTGTTACCAACTTATACATGAGCTTGTTCAAGCTTCTGAAAGTGACTCAGATGTTCAAATATCGGAAGAAATTGTCTTGGCACTAAGAAGGTAGATTTTAGGATTATTAGTAGAAGCCCTGATCCAATCCTTAGTAGCAGCCAGAATCAAATCTCTAGGATTGAAAGGCAACTCCTCCTTATTTTTGAAAATAAAATCATTCCTCCATTTCCAAAGATGCCAGCAGATGACACCAGACAAAGTTTTCCAAGGGATCTGGAGGAACGTCATTTTAGAGCAAAAATTGCTGAGTAACCAGGGGTGTAGCTCTGCGTGGAAGAATAGAGCATCCTGGTTAGTGTTCAGGAAGAG